ACATTGAACTCACTTAAATCAATCTTTTGACTCAACATATCATCAAAATGGCTCTTCACAGCATCACCAGGGACCTCTGAGTTGCCAAATCCTCTAGCCAATGTTGAGCACTCATTTTACCAGAACTAACATCAACATTTTAAGTGGTTGATAATTCCCTCCTTGAAAGACTTCCCTCTCTGTTATTTGGGACTCCACCACTTTCTATTGGTTCTCCTCCTACCTCTCTGGCTATTCTTTCTCAGTTCCTAGTGCTGGATTTTCACCTTCACATCCTCTAAAAATTGAATTGTAACAGGCCTCAGTTCTTGGATCTTATCTCTTGTTTATTTGTATTTTCTTCCTAGATGCTTCCATCCATTTCCATGACTTCAAATATTAGGAATAGGCTTCAGATTACCAAATGTATCTCTAACTCTGGACTCCAGACTTGTACGTCATACAGCCAATTCCATACTTAAACTTGACATTTGGATGTCTAACAGGCACCTCAAGCTTAATATTCCAGAAGATCACTTTTTTTTTCAATCCTCACCCAAGGATATTTTTCTATTTATCTTCAGATAGAGTGGGAGGAAGGGAGAGAGAGGGAGAGAGAAAAACATTGAGGTAACTGACTGGTTGCCTCCTGCACAACCCCAATTAGGGCTGGGGACAACTGCAACTGAGGTACATGCCCTTGACTGGAATCGAACCTGTGACTCATTGGTCCACGGGCCAACGCTCCAACTGCTGAGCCAAACCGGCCAGGGCTAGATCACTTTTGATTGCACCTTTAAAATCTATTTTCCCTCAGTCTTCCCACTTTGAATCAGTGCCATCTCCATCTCTCTTAGGCCAAAAAATGTGGAGTCATCCTTGACTTACATCCCACAGCCAATCCCTCAGTAAATCCTGGTTCTACTACTTAAATAGAGTGGAAACCTGACCTTTTCTCATTATCTCACCCAACACTTCCCCCACCCCCCCAATCCAAGTCACTACCATCTCTAGTCTGGATTATTGCAAAAGCTTCCTCACGGATCTCCCTACTTTTACTTACCTCTATTCCCTTAAAATCACCTCTTCAAACAGCAGCTAGAGTGATGCTCTAAAAATACAAATGGATTCATATCATAGCAACACACCAAACTTTCCAATGGTTTCCTGTCTCATTCTGAATAAAAATCAAAATTCTTACAGTGGCATATTTACACCCTGCATGATCTGGCCCCCAACTACCTCAGACCTCCATGCCCACTGTCCCTTCTCTCCCTGTCTTGCTCTTGTCTCACATCCACACTGTCCTTTCTCCAATTTGAAGAGGCTACACATGTCCTCCTTAATCCCTACACCCTGATTTCTTTTACATCTCCGTTCTTATGCCTTCCTAAACTAAACTTTGGAGTGCTTAATCTGAGTCCAGACTTGGTTTGTTTTGTTTTCTGCTGTATTCCTGTCTCAAATAGAGCCTGGCACTGAAAATGTGTTCCATAAATGTGTTGAATGAGTGAATAAATAAATTATATTCCTAATGCCTAATAGTATAACCCAGACTAACCATTTAGTCTTTTTTGGATCTCATTTTCCTCATGTCTCAAAGGAGAGATGAGCTAGATAATCTCAAAACACACATTTATTCAGTAAATATTTAATGCAACGTACAGGGTACCTGGTACTGAGTATGTGCTTGGGCTACAAGAAAAAGTCATCCTTTGCTGAGTTTTTTTTATCACAAATGAGTGCTAGATTTTATCAAATGCTTTTTCTGCATCTATTGATATAATCATGTGGTTTTTATTCTTCATTCTGTTTATGTAGTATATCACATTTATTGATTTGTGGATATTGTACCAATCTTGCATCCCAGGAATAAATCTTACTTGATCATGGTGTTTTTTCCTTTATTTTCTTTTTTTACATTTATCTTCAGACAGAGTGGGAAGGAGGAAGAGAGAGAAACATTGATGTGAGAGAATCACATCAATTGGTTGCCACCTGCACGACTCCAACTGGGGCTGGGGATGAATCACAACCAAGGTACATGCCCTTGGCTGGAATCAAACCCAGGACTCCTTGGTCCACTGGCCGCCGCTCTAACCGCTGAGCAAAACCAGCCAGGGCTGTTTTTTTTCTTTTTAATAAATACATTGCTGGATCCAGTTTGTTAATATTTTGTGAGGATTTTAGCATCTATGTTCATCAGGGAAACTAACCTATAATTTTCTTTCTTTGTAGTGTTCTTATCTGGTTTTGCAATTACGATAATGCTGGCCTTAGAAAATGAGCTTGGGAGTCTTCCTTCCTCTTTAATTTTTTTGAAATAGTTTGAGGAGGATAGGTATTAGTTCTTCTTCGAATGTCTGGTAAAATATTCCTGTGAAGCCATCGGTCCAGGACTTTTGTTTGTTGAGAGTTTTTTTTATTTTTTTTTATTACTGCTTCAAGTTCACTACTTGTAATCTATCCAGATTCTCTAATTCTTTCTGATTCAGTTTTGGAAGATACATAAGAATAAACTCAAAATGGATTAGAGACTTAAATGTTAGACTAGAAACCATAAAAATCCTAGAAGAAAATATAGGCAGTAAAATCTCAGACATTTCCTATAGTAATATTTTTTCTGGTGTATTTCCTTGAGCAAGGGAAACAAAAGAGAGAAAGAAAAAAATGGGACTACATCAAACTAAAAAGATTTTGCACAGCAAAGGAAATTATCAACAAATGAAAAGACGGCTTGTTTAATGGGAGAATGTATTCACCAATGATACATCTGCTAAGGGGCTAATATCCAAAATGTATAAAAATTTATAAAACTCAATACCAAAAAAACCAAACAATCCAGTTTAAAAATGGGCAAAGGACTTGAACAGACAATTCTCCATAGAGGACATACAGAGGCCAATAGACATATGAAAAGAGGCTCAATGTCACTAATCATCAGAGAAATGCAAATGAAAATCACAATGAGGTATCACCTCACACAGGTTAGAATGACTTCCATCAATAAATCAACAAACAAGTGTTGTCGAGGATGTGGAGAAAAGGGAGCCTTCTTGTGTGGTTGGTGAGAATGCAGATTGGTGTAGCCACTGTGGAAAGCAGTATGGAATTACTTCAAAATATTAAAAATAGAACTGCCTTATGACCCAGCAATTCCATTTCTGGGAATGTATCTGAAGAAACCCAAAACCCCAATTCAAAAGACTATATGCACCCCTATGTTCATTGCAGTGTTATTTCCAATAGCCCAGGTTTGGAAGCAGCTCGAGTGTCCATCAGTAGATGAGTGGATTAAAAAAGCTGTGGTACATTTACATAATGGAATACTACTTGGCCATAGAAAAGAAGGAAATTTTGCCCTGGCCAGTTTGGCTCAGCAGTTAGTGTCAGCCTGTGTACCAAAGAGTCAAGGGTTCAATTCCGGTCAAGGGCATGTACTTCAGTTGCAGTTTGATCCCTGGGCCTGGTTGGGGTCATTCCGGAGGCAACCAATCAATGTGTCTCTCACATCGGTGTTACCCCCCCCATCTGAAAATCAATGGAAAAATATCCTCCAGTGAGGATTTTTTTTTTTAAAAAGGTGGAAATTTTACTCTTTATGACAGCATGGATGGACCTGGAGAGGATTACACTAAGTAAAATAAACCAGTCAGAGAAAGACAAGTACTATATAATTTCACTTATATGTGGAATGTAATGAACAGAATAAACTAACAAAATTGAAACAGACTCATGGATACAAAGAACAGACTGACAGCTGTCAGAAAGGAGGGGGTTTCAGGGCTGGGTGGAAAAGATGAAGGGATTAAGCCAAAGACAAAACAAACAAAAAAAACTCATAGAGAGACAACAGTATGGTGATTACTAGAGGGAAAGGATGGTAGGGTTAGGTTGAAGAAGGTTTGTAGGTGGGATAAATGGTGATGGAAGGAGACTTGACTATAGAACTGTTTCCCTGAAACTTGCATAATTTAAACCAATTTCACCCCAATAAATTCAATTAAAAAAAAAAAAAAGTGACACAGTCCTTTTCAAGGAGCTGTCCAGGGAGATAAACAGCCAAATGGGAAATTACCAGGGAGGGCTTCAGAGGAAACTTCACCTGGGAATGGGTAGGATACAGCTAGGTGAAGAGGGGGTGGAAGCCTGTGCCGGCTGCCTGCGGGTGCACAGGGAGCCCTTCCAGACTGTAAGCCCGGTGAGAACAAGAGACTCCTGTTTTATCCCCGGATTTGGCTCCAGACTCTTGATCATACTGCTCTTACCTCCGACGCTGGTGCACTTACTGAAGGAAGAGGGCAGCGTGGGAGCTGGGGAAGATAAGGAGTTCAATTCTAACTTTGAAAGCGAACGACCTTTGTCAGACTCCATCTGTTTCATAAAGCGAGGCACTGCTTATGGACTCTTTACACTGTCCCCTGGCCCAGAAATACCCACCAGGTTATGTTACACTTTGCAGGCCCCTAGCACAGGGCAAAGGTCCTCAACGTTTTTCCTGTCCCGCATTTTGAGCGCCGAGGAGCGTTCCTAACCAGCTAGCGAGGGCAACTCGGGCGCCGGGCAGGCGCCGCCGCACGCCAGCGCCACAGCAGCCTCCGCAGAGAATTGCTCCACACCCAGGGATCGTCATGCTCGGCTCTTCTCGAGAGTTCTCCGTGCTCCTGTTAGTTGGCCCCTTGCAAGCCCCGGCGCTAACCTGGGAGGAGTCGACCTCTTTCGACTCTACCAACTAACGAGCGTAGGGGTGCAGCGACCGAACATGCTGAGATGAAGGACGGAAGATGGAAAGAGAAGCTCCCGTGAGAAACAAATCAAGCCACATTGTCCTTCCAACGTGGTATAGAGCTCGCAGAGCCTCAGAGAAGTAGTTGTTTCCATCTTCCAAGTTAAATCGACTCTGGCCTCCCCTCACGTCTGGCGCTCTCGGACTTTGGTCTCTCCCGCGCCGGGCGACCCCGAGGTCACGTGCTCCCCCTGTCCTTCTCGCGGAACGTGCAGCCGGTGGGGACAGCCGAGCCATGGCAGCCCTTCTGAGACCCGCCCGCTGGCTTCTCCGTGCCGGGGCGACTGCGCGCCTCCCGTTGTCGCTGCGCCTCCTCGCGGGCGGCCCGGGCCGGCCGCACGCCGCCCTCTGTCAGCCCGCAGCTCGCGCCGCGCCTGGGTGAGTGCCCCGGCAGTCCCCTTCGCCCGCCTGCAGCTCGGCCGTCTTCCGGGGTCGTGAACGCCGGCGGGGGACGGGTCTCGCCTGTGCCCTCTCCGCGCCCACTTCGCCGTTCCAGGGCTAAACGTCCCGGGGCGTCGGACCATGCTCCCCACCAGGGGTTTTTGGGAACTGGGTTAGTCGCCTTCAGAAGGTCATAGCTCGTTTCCGGCTTGCATCCTGCCCATGGACTACCTTTGGCCTATGCAGCTGCGAGGGGCTTTGAAGGCTGCTGCGAGGGTCGGATGATAACTCTTTAAGATTGCGCGGCTTGGGTGCTGTCCCGTGTGCAAGCGTTAACGGTGATCAGTAACCAGCCAGGACGTAGATTTCGAATTTTATTTTTCTTGCAGTGCGGGGTGGTGGAGAATAGGTTGGGAATTTTGGGTGAGCTAGGGTTAGCTTAGAGATGGACGTTTAATTACGATGAGTTTGGATTTTTGCCTCAACTTCCTTGAAGTTCTCAGTATTTACGACGGTGTGGTATGGATTGGGAATCGTCACAGTAGACTCAGCTAGTGTCAATGAATGAATAAGTGAACACACGCAAGGCACTCCGTGGCGGACCTGGGCGAGTACAAAGGCAAATTAAATGCTCTGTGGGTGTCAAATGTGTGAACACATGCCCTTATGGGTTGAGGTTTATAAGGAGATAGGCTTGATATTAGACTTGGGGGAGGGGGCGGTAATTTGAATAGTGTTCTGACCACCTGAGAAGGGGAAATGGACACTGAGGTTTTAGAATCGGGGAAAAGATAATTTTGAAAGACCAGTTTTTATAGTAAAGGAGACAGCATAAGGACTAAGAGCTAAGGATCTGTAATAGACCAGGGCTGGACTACTGGCCTTTTTATTTGCATAGTGCTGTTGGACAAGTTACTTAATATCTCCAGTCAGGCTTATTTCCTTAGTTATAGGTGGGAGTAGTAACAGTGTTGGTAGTATTGTATATAAAGCACTTAACATAGGATCTGGTACCGAGTAAGTGCTATATTAGTTACTATAATAATAACTATGATCACATGGATCTGTCTGGAAACTTCTCTGCATAAATTATATGGAGGAAATGTTTTATGACTTCTTAACAAGTTAGTTACAAATCTTTGGAATGTAGCCTACTTGTAACCTGGAGCCTGCCAGGATTTTCTCATTACGCCTCAATAATTGACCTTCAGAAGTCATGTCTGCTGTTTTCACAGAATGACATCCTTTGGCTTTCAAAGAGTTTCTTTTGACAAAGAAAATTGTGCCAATTACTTTTATTTTTCTAGTCCTTAACATCCCTTGAAAGGGTCAGTGTTATCATTCATCTTCACTGTTGCATTTGAGGGAAACAACAGAGGGAACACAATCTAGAAGAAAGGGTGTTATATTATAAAATATCTGGGTGTTCATCAGACCTGGGTTCCATTTACATGGTGCAAAAATCTTACCTAACCTCTTTGATCCTCAGTTTCATTATCTGTAATGTAGAGGTAACAGGCCTTTCCTGCTTCTTTGTAAAGTTGATTTCTTGTCATTTAGGACTCAAATGCTGTTTCTTCACAGAAGCCTTACCTCAGCACTCTAAAAAACTATCGTATTCTTGTTTTATCATGGCATGTCTCACTTGTCTGATATTTATCTTTTCTGTTTTCTTAGTAGAAAATGAGTTGTGTGGTCTTGTTTGCCACCGTGTGGCTCAGCTTATAACAAGTAAAGAAGTATTTGTTGTCGTTTTCTCCTGGACACTGAAAACTTTTTCTATGCAATCTTCTATCCTTCAGTCTCTAAGTATGCCTAGATCTTTCCCACCTGAAATACAAAAGCTTTTCCGGGACTTTGGACACTTCCCAGTCTCTTTTTCCTGTCTGTACTCCAGCCTTCATTTCCTCACTTTGCATACACTCATCTTCTCACTGCAATCACCACTGCAAAAGCCATCATTGTCTTGTTTATGATTTTTTTACTGTATATTTTTTAATTATAAAACTCATGTGCCTTGAGGAACAATTGCAAAATATAGGGGAAAAACTAAAAATCACCCTTAATTCTATCACCCAGAAAGAGCCATTGATACATAATCACTCATGTATATATGAGATGATCCACGTTCAAGGCCTTGACATCTGACATATAACTCTGCCTCCCATGTCACCTTCATGCGACCCTTATCTTGGCATTAGTGACAACACTCTTGATTTTCTTCTCTTTTAGGATTTTTCTTGCTTTGTTGCTTCCTTTTTCCTCTGTTTATCCCTTAAAGGCTGACGTTTTGCGGGGGAGGGGTCGTCCTTAGTTTCTAAATTTTTTTATCCCCTTTGGTGACCTCTTCCATTTTTAGGGCATCAGCCCCTACTTATCTGATAGCATTATTTCTCCTGTACATAGACTGTCAACTAGACATCCACTGATTGAACTACAGGTACTTCAGACCTATCACATCTCGTATTGAACTTGTCTTACCTCCCAAATCTGCTCCTTGTGTGTCCCCTACTTTAGTGAATATTGCTATTGCTGTTTCCTCATTTCTCATTTACATTTCATTGACACCTTCCACCATGTATTGACTGCACAGTGATTAAGTCCTGTTAGATCTACTTCATCTGGAGTGAATCCCTTCCAATCCCCATGTCATTCCCTAGTATCCCTGATAATTTAACCATGTCATTTTTTTTTACTTACAGTCAGACAGACACTGGGGTGACTCCCATTAAGTCGAGGATAAGGAGCTTCCAGAACTGAAGATGCCTCTGGAGCCTCGCTTCTTATGAGTTCTTTCCCATGGCATCTTATATTGTAGCCTTACCAAACTACTATTTTGAAGTCAGCAGAGCTTCTGAAACTATAATGAGCATAAGAACTTCCTGGGGATCCTGTTAAAAATGTAGATTCTGATTTTATAGGTCTAGGCAAGGGACTGAGATTCTGCATTTATAACAAGGCCCCAGATGATTAAAATGCTGCTGGTCTGTGAACCAGCGAAGCTCTGATGGGCCATGTTGCATATCTGCTTGCCTTTGAATATAATGTTCACTTTTGGGATGTGTCTCCCCTTCCCCCTACTCAAGTGTTCCCCTTCTTTGTTAAATCTTTCTTAACTACTTCTCTTATTTGACTGCTCCTTTATTGTACTTTCTCTCACAGTCTAAATCACTAAATTATCTTAACGTGATTACATGAGTACCCACCAGCACTTCAGACCTGGCTGTGAGTTCCTTGAAGACAGGAACTGTGTCTTATTCTTTTTGCCTTAAGTTGCGTATATCAATGAAAATCTCAGACATTGAGGAAGGAATATAGTGAGATGCAAAGAAGTTTGGTGGGGTACTTAAGCCATTTATGTAGTGCAGTTAATTTCCACAAATTCACCCTGATCTTTATTTCCAGGAATGTCCTATCTGAGAAGGAAAGATAAGTATTATTAAGTGAAATTATTGGAATTTCTTAATCTGTTTTCAAAAGTATATACTTTTTTAGAGAGAGGAAGGGGGAGAGAGAGGGAGAAATAGTGATTTGAGAGAGAAACATCAATAGGTTGTGTCCTGCATGTACCCGACCAGGCATTGAACCCATAACCTGGGTATGTGCCCTGACTGGAAATCGAAATAATGACCTTTCTGTGTATGGGATGACACTCCAACCAACTGAGCTACACCAGCCAGTGCCAAAAGTATATCTTTTTATATTCTTTAGTTTTACTCTTCCATTTTTCTATTTCAGCACTTTATAAAAAATTATTATTTTTAATGTTTTTATTGATTTTAGAGAGAGAGGAAGGGAGAGGGAAAGAGGGATAGAAACATTGATGAGAGAGAAACACCAATTGTTTGCCTCCTGCATGTCCCCTACCAGAGATGAAGCCCACTTCCTAGGCACGTGCCCTGACCAGGAATCAAACTGGCAAACTCCTGGTGCACGGGACGACACTCAATCCACTGAGCCACACTGGCCAGGTTTAAAATTGTTTTTTAGTCCTCACCCAAAGATATGTTTTGATTGATTTTTAGAGAGAGGAAGTGAGAGGGAGAAACCTCCATCAGTTGCCTCCTGCCCGTACCCAAACCAGAGGTTGAACCACAACCTAGGTATGTGTTCTGACTGGGAATTGAACCCATAACCTTCTGATGTACGGGACAGTGCTCCAACCAACTGAACCACCTGATCAAATCAGCACTTTTTTTTAAAAAACTTGTTTTCTTAAAAGCCAGCTCTTACCCATCTTCTGTGGGGAGGTGGAGGAGCAACACTTGCTTTCTCACACTTCTGGATTAGAAGCTGCTTATATATTTCTTGTTAGTTTTAAGAATAATACTTATGTGCTTCAGAGGAAAGATTAACTTTGAGCTAAATCAGTTTGGAAGTGGATCTAGATTGATGTTTGGCTCAAAGGTGAAAATCACATATTGCTCTATGACAGTATGATATGACTTTTACACTTTCCCTTTTTTATCTTTCATTAAAAAAATATTCTCAACAAATATTAGGAGTATGTCTGGGTTCTTTGGGGTTGTGATTCAGCCTATGATCTTGTGTGTATAAATTTATCAATTACAGAGAGTTATGATAGGCACAGTACAACTATTACATTTGTGCTACCCATAGGAGACAAATTTCCCGTGGCCTTTCAGAGAAAAGAGCGGTCACATTTGTTTTGTGGTATGGAGTCACTTGAGTTTGAGAGGACACACGGTAATGACTTGTCAGTGTTACAGGCGAAGAGAAGAGCATGAAGAGACTTGGAGGCTGTACTTTTATCCGATGTGACTGTGTGGGGTGGGATGCAGTGGAAGTTGATACTGTGAAGGCCATTTGACTCCCTGAAGCTGCCAAGTTAATTAGAAAGTTGGTCATTTGATGGTTGGAAGTCTTTGGAGAGTTTTGAGAGGTACAAGTGTTGACAAAGTTTACATAGACCAATGGAGATACAGAGGCTGGAGATGGACAGACCAGTTAGGAACAACATTGATACTACAGATTAG